AAAACCGAGGTTCACTTAGATTTTCATATCTTTGCCATCCTTGATTTTGATCTTCTTATAGGCTACCCTCTTGAAAAGCTTCTCCAAGAAAAACCTTCCCTTGGGAGCCTTAATGAAAAGTTGGGAAAAACTGCTTTCGCCACTCCTATCTTTCACCCAAAAATCCCAACGGCAAAGCATCTTCCCAACCGTGACCCATTCGAGGAGGTAAAGTTCATATCCCCATTTGTTTCATCGAAGCCTTTTTCTCATCCTTGTGAAACAGAACATCTATCCCCACCCTCACTCGAACCAAAACCATGTCCTTCTGGCCATCAAAACAGTGATTGAGATAGAGACCGGAGGCACTCCTGCAGGTCACTGATTGATCGTAGCAAGTCCTTTAGGATATTTTCATTGTCGCTTATAACCACACCAGGCTTCCTTAGCTGCCATAGCCTTCCAATGTCAATCAAGTCTTGACTAGTTAGTGCTTTTACATTAGAAAGTGCCTCCATGTTTGACATTTTTTCAATCCTGTGAGGAATCAGGACATTGGAGCTTGAAGTTGAACTAGTGAAACCAGCCAAAAGACGTTTTAGCTTGTGTAGCAGAACATGTTTTGTTGCAGATGCAGGCACATTGGTTTGTCGAATATCCAATACCTCCATCTCATGGAGATTGTTGATTTCACAGGGCAGTTTTTGTAGATTTGTTCTCCTTACACTTAGATACTTGAGCAATAACATCTTTCTACAGACGACCACGAAGTAGTGCTGGTTCTTTCCACCAAAGCAACTACAACCTTCTAGATCTAGTACCTTGAGCAAGGACACCTGAGATGATTTAGAGAGATCTTGAAAGAAAGTATTGATTTTGTCAGAGCCGTGGAGTCGAAGGTCATTAAAAATTGAGATGTGGCGAGCCAAATGATGTGAGAGGCGTGTCTCCAAAATGTGTTGATTCCTTGCAATCTTTGTAATAATTTGATGAACTAGATTTTTAGCATAGACTTGGAGAATAAGAAGCTAACATGAAGGCAACATATAGAGCGATAGGGTTCTACGATGAATGATTAACAGGTTCAGGAATTCAGATTTCAGTTACAATAATCTTCACCCCTCTGTTTCCCTCTCCTTTGCCTTAGTGCTCTCTTACAGGTAGAGCCACTCTAGGCCACTCATCCTCGTACTGGTCTTTCAAACTCTCCTGGGCTGAATAGCTGAAGCAGGGCCTTGCTCCTCTTGGGTGCCAATGCTTCCTTCTGTTGTCGTACGATCAATAGTGCTGACATTGCCCGCTTCTTGTGAACCGGCATGCCCCTATGCCGGTGCTCCAGGGAATTACTGGCGCAGACATTCCAAGGGCTCCCAAGTAGCAAGTGAAGGCGGCATCAGGGACCACATAATCAACACCTCTTCAACTGGATGATCACCCGACGACCAACGACGCTGTAATATCCGTTGAGGCACCTGAAACTGAACAGAGACTGAAGGTAGTGCATCAGTCAAAGGGTGATCTCCATGTGAGCGCTTCAGTTGAGAGACATAAAAAACTAGATGGATTGCAGAAGTAGGAGGCAAGGCCAATTTGTATGCCACTGCTCCCACTTTGGCTTCCACACGATATGGGCCAAAGAAATAGAATGCCAACTTCTGGTTTGATCTACGCGCCAAAGAAGACTGAACATATGGTTGCAATTTGAGGAAAACCCAATCACGGACAGAAAAACTGCATTCTGATCGTTTCTTGTCAGATTGCCTCTTCATACGCATTTGAGCTCTTAAAAGATGCTGACGCACAAAATCTTGCATGAGTGTTGTATCAGACAACCAAGTGCTCAAATCTGTACTATCAGGTATAGCAGAATCAACAGAAAACCCAAAGTGCTTTGGAGTATAACCATATAAGACCTCAAACGGGGATTGGCCCAGAGCTGAATGTAGACTTGTGTTATACCAATACTCTACAAGAGATAACCAGTTGATCCATTTAGAAGGACAAGCATGCACAAAACAGCGCAAGTATGTCTCCAAACACTGATTTAACCGCTCGGTTTGACCATCAGTCTGGGGATGGTATGAAGTGCTCAACCTCAATTCAGTACCAGCCAGCTAGAATAATTGCTTCCAAAAATTGCTTGTAAAAATCTTGTCTCGATCAGAGATAATAGCTGATGGTAAACCGTGCAACTTATACACATTATCCATGAATAGCTTAGCAATTGAACTTGCAGTGTAAGGATGCTTCAATGGAATGAAACGACCAAATTTAGTGAATTTATCAATGACAACTAAGATGGCATTAGCTGTACCAGATTGAGGAAGGCCTTCTACAAAATCCATGGAAATGATATCCCAAGATGATGTAGGCACTGGCAGTGGCTGCAAAAGGCCTAGGTACCTTGATCTATCTGGTTTTGCTTTCTGACAGATAGTACACTGCTGAACCATTGACAGCACATCAAATTTCATACTTGGCCAATAAAACATACTGCTGATGCGTTGCAGTGTAGCAGGTGCTTCAGAATGACCCCCAATGCACTACTTGCAAAGCTGCAGACACCTTAGAGTGAAGCTCAGCATTTGAACCCAGCCATATCATGCCCTTAAATCTAATAATACCATTTGTCAGTGTATAGTTAGGCAATGAAGATGGAGAGACTGCTAACTGAGAAAGCAACTGGAGTGCTTGGGAGTCTAATGTATAGGCCAGTTGAATATCAGTTAATAACCATTGAGGTTGAACTATGCTCAAAGAGTATAACTGGGACTGAGTAGGACATCTAGATAAGGCATCAGCCACATTATTTTCTGTGCCTTTCTTGTAAACCAGTTTGTATTGTAATCCTAAGAGCTTAGTGAAGACTTTTTGTTGCCAATGAGTATGTAATCTCTGCTCATTGAGATGTATTAAACTTTTCTGATCAATATGGATAAAAAATTCAGAATGTTGCAGATAATGTCTCCACTGATCTAATGCTACCAGAATAGCCATATACTCTTTCTTTGTTTCTTCGTGATATTTGTCGAGGTTTGTCGCCGCAAGAAACTTGGTGTTTTCTGCCGCTTCGAGCTCCACGTATCGCTGTATTGGAGTGGTTGCTGCAATTTGGGTGCGGAAAGACCCTAGCTTGAGCTCCTCTGGTGTGATTGCCTCTTCGCCGTACAATAGGCGAAAAAGGGTGAACCTGGTTGTCCGAGTACGCGAGATGTTGTCCCCAGACTGAAGTGACCAATTCCTGGGCCCATTTTCCTTTCGGGAGGTCGAATAAAGCTTTTGATACTACACTAAAAATCAAGCCATTTGCCCTTTCGACTGCTCCGTTGCTCTCTGGGTGGTTCACTGAGGCGAACGCTAGTTTGATCCCCAACTCGCTGCAAAAATTTCTGAACTCCATGCAATCAAATTGCTTTCCGTTGTCGACTATGATGTAGGACGGGATCCCAAAATGGCAGATGATCCTTTGCCATACGAAACTGATTAGGGTACCCGAAGTGATTTTTGCTAGTGCCTTGGCCTCAATCCACTTGGTGAAATACTCCAAAGCTACTGCTGCGAAATGCAAGTTGCCGGGTGCTGTCGGCAATGGTCCTACAATGTCGACTCCCCATCTCTGCAAGGGCCATGTCGGGATGATTGACGCGGTCAGAGTAGCTAGGGCTCTCTGCTTTTTGGCGAACATCTGGTAGTTTTTGCAACTGCGGACCAGCTCTTTTGCGTCTTCTGCTGCTGTCGGCCAATAGAATCCTTGCATCATCGCTCTGTGAGCATTTTTATGTGGTCCTCTGTGACCTCCGCACATTCTAGCATGCATTTTGCTTAGCAGTTCGATTCCCTGCTCTCTGCTTATGCACTTTAGCATTGGTGCGACTATTCCACTCTTGTATAGCTCTCCCGCTGCCTTATGTCGCCTGTTCCACTCTTGTATTAGCATTGTTCGCCATCCAGAGCCCCCGCCTGCCTCAGATAGCGTCGACCGAGCAAGACCCGACCAGCTTCGCCTTATGTCGCTTGTTCAACCGACCGAGCGGGCCCCCGGTGGGCAGAAACTGTCGGGCACGCGAAGGTAGCCGGCTCCTTTGGCGAAACCTGCGGAAACGATCAACCAAACTGTTAATGGCTACTCGCCTAAGCGAATAGCCATGATGGACTGCGCGCCCTCCTTTGGCGAAACCTGCAGAAACGATCGACAAAACTGTTAATGGCTATTCGCCTAAGCGAATAGCTATGACCGACTGCACGCCCTACTTTGGCGAAACCTGCAGAAACGATTAATCAAACTTACCAACAGCTATCCGCCTAAGCGAATAACCAGATTTGCCAGCGAGCCAGTAGCTAGAGCGAAAAGGAAAAGAACTAGACACGGTTCGGCCCCGGCCGCAGAGTCCACCTTTCCGCTATAGCGAAAAGGGGGTGTCTGAGGATGAGACGGCAAGTGCCACCCTCACTTCGCTGTGGCGAGAAGGGGACTCGACACATCCTTCTTATCACACACGGCTAGCCCGCTCGCATTTCGTTATAGCGAAATGCTGAGCGCGCCGAAGCCCAACTCCCGTTATTCTGTTTTCGCGAGAAACCGGGACGGCGATTGAGCCTCTCAGGGTGCCCAAAGGCGGGGCACGCCCCAACACTCCGTCCCAAAATATATGTCGTTTTCTCTTTCCGAGAAACAACTTTGACAAAATATATATTAAAAAATACTAATATTTACGATACATAATTTGTATCATTGGAAAGATCTTTAAATCTAGTCTTTTAATAAATTTATTTAAAAATATAAATACTGTACGTATTAAAAAAACGACACATAATCTGGGACAGACGGAGGAATTTGATTTTTTTTTTTATAATGGCGCATAGGTGCGTGCCCCTGAACCATGGAGCCACCTGAACATTCTGGCAGCATGTCGGTCTCGTTCTTCTTCTCCCTCCCCAATCCCCCGCCACGGTGCTGCTGCCCGCGCTAGGGTTTTACCGCCAATCTCTCACTCGCATCCGGGCGACCCCGCCCGATCGGGATGGTGGAGGAGGCGGGCGACAGGACGCAGTCGCAAATGCGGCTCAACCACGCGGCGGCGGAAGGCGACGCCCGCCTCCCGCCGCCGGCCTTACTCGGCGGGGCGTCACGGCTCCACGCCGTCGACCAGGTCCGTCCGTTCCCGCGTCTCCTCCTGGGCCGCTTCCTACTTTCTCCGGAATCTCATCTCGCAAGGCACCGCCCTTGGCCGATCGCCGCACGTTTCCGCGCCGGTTTCAGTTTCGGCTTCTCGGCGTCGTCTTCCTCGTGCCTCACGCGCTCGCCGCGCAGGCAGCACCTCGCTTGCCTTTTCTGCACTCGGCTGGCATCGATATACTCCCCCTCCAGGATAGGCACGGGCAGTCCCGCGAGGTTGTTCTGTGAGCGGCGGATTCCGATTGCTCGCCATTGGGGTGGCTCCGTCTGGTGCCGTCCGGTGCTCCGGTGAGCCGTTCGTGGAGTTGGGCGGGGTGCTCCTCCTCTTCCTCCTCACGATGGCGGCCTGGAATCGGTCGGGGGACGTGAATAGCGACCCTGAGCACTCCGTCGGCACATCGCTTCCTCCTCTGCCTCGGCCTGATAACGGTACGGACGGATTCCTTCCCCTCTCTCTGAACCCGATGTTCCGATTTGGGTGGTATCATCCGTAGTCTGTTGGGTTGCGATCGGATTTGAACTTACTCGATGTCTAGATCTACTCCTTACTCTTTGTTTATCAGATGATTTGGATACTGATTCAAGCTTAGGATCAGAGTTATTACTGGTTAAACATGCCTGTTGCTGTATGCTTCCTCATGTATATGAACTGTTCTTTCCACTACGCGATGAGCTGCCAGAAATTTTATCTCTGCATGATTATCACATCTATTGGGGACATCCTTTTCTTTTTGGGGGGAATAGGAATTTGGAGGGCACTGCAATTGCGAGATAGCAGTGTTGTACTTGTACAGGTGGGGATTCAAAACATCTTTTCAGACACAGTCCAGTCTGCAACTCTACACAGTGCGTAGTATTTTGAAGATGCATGGAAGTGCTAGTATCCGTTATGTACTGCGTTCAATTTCAAATACTGAAATGCCCGTTGCGCGCCATGGATTCAATGGCTGGGATCTTCTGGATCCATGGCTCACTTTGCGCCTTTCACGCCATCTTTGATTTGTATACTTTGTCGTTTTGCACACTTTGTCGTAACGCCTAGTTGCTTATTCTGTCCTGAGTAATAAGTAACCGATGTCCTTCGACATATCGTAACGATTGCCAATGGAATTACTAATTACCATTGGTCCCACACTTGGTGTCTGTACCTTTTTTTTTTCCAAGCAACAATATGGCCTCAAAGTTATGATATGCTGTAAGACACATTTTCACTTTTTTTTTCTTACTATTTATATTACCATTAAATGAATGACATTGATGATTCCTGTGTAGGAGATAGATACTTACCTTTAGAAGCAATGTTGCCATTTTTGGGTCAAACTCAGAATTATGAATGTTTCCCCTTATTTAGCATGCTACGTGTGTTACTGTCTGATGTTTCTTTCACACCCTTGATCTCCATTCTTATGAATAAGAGCAAGTGGAAGACCATCCGTATGATTGATGAGTTTATATCCTAATCTCGAGTGTTGTAAGAGGGTATAAGCACCATGTAGCTATAGGCTCAGAACGTCAGAAGATAGTAATCCTAGGATGTTGGGTTGGGCTGTATGGTTAAGCTAAGTTTTACCCTTTCTGGAAATGGTTTTGGTTTTAAGGTTAGGGTTTCCCTTATCATTCTCGATTTGTGCAAATTTTAGGAAACTTACTTTTGTGTTGGAACCAAAATAAAGTTACAGCACATCATGATACCAGAGCATCGACATAGTGGGAAATTGCTCTTCTAACAGAACAAGCACGTGAAAGATAGAACCTCGGCTTGTTTCTTGCAATCATACTTTTCTTTTCTTTTCTTGATCTTCTTCCTTTGAACTGCATTTCGATTTTCCACTTTCAGTGTTGGAAACTTCTCATTGCCATTAATTTCTTACATCATGGCTGCTTGGCGGGGTTTCATTAACTATTTCAGTAATATGTATAGTTGTCCACTTTTGTTTCTAAAATATTGGAAGAATTTGTTGTAGTTGTTTATTTATCATTTTTTTTAGAACAAAATGGTCAGCACCATTTCCCTACTGAAACAAGCATTACTGGTGCAGAGGTCAGCATATCTTGGAAACAACAATCCCTTCTGGTAATTAGAGAGCGGCACACGGCCAACATGTAAAGCTAGCACCGCCAATGAAATTATAATGACAGGACATCACCTTTTGTTTTCTCAGATAACGTAACAAGTACAAGAGCTGGTTTGATGACTTATGTGTCTAGACAACACCTTGAGTGACCACATAATAGCTATCTTTCTTTATTATGGATCAATTCAAATATTCTCTGCAGTCGAAAACATGGATGATTGTAACAATTTTTATCTCTGGGCTATTTGGTTTACTGAACTAATTTAAAATTTCAGTCTGGTGTCTTCCAAATTTGCATGTTGGAATATTAATTAATCTAGCTATAAGACAATTCTATTTATGTTCTTCCAGATTGCTGAATGCCGTACATCAGGGAATCTTTTGTCTTTCTGCATTGCCGTGGTGCTACCATGAATTCTGATAGCCATTTTTTCATACGCGCAGAGGACAAGGTCCGCCCAGTCCCATTATGGGAAAGAGAATTCTGCCGCAACGCTTACGACATTCCTTGGGAGACCTTTTGCGAAAACAAGCGATTTATTGAAATATTATTCAAAAACGTCATGGACTGGGATGATTCAGGAGCGCTCAAGAATTTCGAGGACGCAAAGGAAAGGTTCAGGGCAAAATATTTTGGCGAACCTTATGAGGATCCTGTGCTAGACCCTGATATATACATCGATGAGGTCGATAACCACTGCAAAGTTGACCCGGAGTTGGTTGCTGGCCTCGATAAGATAGCTGGCCTGGACTTGGTAGCCGACCTGGGTTGGTGAGGCATGGACAACCTGACACCCATGAGTTGGGGAGCACCGATAGGCAATCTTATACCCATGGGATGGGGACAGCCGGTCCTAATCTGAAACCCACTGGATGGGGGGAACCAGCTAATCCGACACCTGACCCTGCTTGGGGAGGCCAGGGAATTCAAATACCAGATCCAGTCCGCGGAGCCCAGCCTTCCTGCACACCAAACAACAGTAACAATAACTTGCATGAAGGTAGACCATCCAACAACTGGCAGCAGCAGGGGGTGGATCCAGGCCACCCGTCATCTGGGACTGCAAGGATGCTGCCCGGCGGTGGCAGTGGTGGAGCTGGCAGGAATTGGAACGGTGGAGGTGGCGGCGGTGGCAGCAGCAGCAATTGGAATGGCTGCGGCCACGGCAATCAGAAGAACGAGGCCGAGGGGCAAAACCAGCAGCGGAACCGTGGCAGCATGCAGAGGAACCAGAACTTGTGGCAGCACCAGATGAGGAGCGTCGGCCGGCAGCAGCAGGGTCAGAGGGGAAGGAAGATGGAGTGGCGTCCTGTGCAGCGCAACAAGGCCCCCAAAGATGATTCTGCCGCTTGATCGCTCGCCAGGCGAGATCGCAGGTGGTTTGTTTGTGAAGCCAGTGTTGGGCTGGGCTGTTGTTGGCACAGGTGGTGCCTGTATTGTAGGAACTGTGTGCTGCCACCGCCGCCGCTCTTCCGGAGCTGCTGCGGCCTTGGTTTACTTCTGTTGTACTGATGATGTTGTAATGTTAATGGAAGCATGACATTTTGGTGCAAAGTTAATCTTTCTCCGCCTGGTTATACTGCACGGTCTATGCATATACTCGTACTACTCGTTTATTACTAGCTCTGCTCATCTTTTCAGTGCAGACTGCAGACAAAGAGCAGGACGCGGTGGTCTACGGTCCGGATGATCCGGCCGCTCCGCTCCGATCCGGCCCGGCCACAAATATTGACGCCGGCCAAGTCTCCGGCCGCCACGACATCCTTCAGGAGAGACAGAGGAAAGGAAACATCCATCAGGATTCAGGAGAGACAGGAAGGTACACTGAACCGTGCTTGTGCAGGCACGTGAACACAGGGACGGAGCCAGGATTTGACCATAGGGTGCCGTTTTGGTGTACCAATGATAACCACCTATGATAAAATATGTGCGCGCGTGTATATATATATATACCCTCTATGTTTCAAATTATAAATTGCTTTGTTTTTTTTTTTGTATATTTATTTTGCTATGCATCTAGATACAATAATATGTCTAGATATATGATAAAATGGATAAATCAAAAAAGTTAAAGCGACTTATAATTTGAAACGGAGGGAGTATTAAGTTAGCAAAAGTATAAATAATAACTAAATCAATATTTATTTTATGATACGAAAGAAAGACTAACACAAAGAAAATATAATAAATAAATATATCACTAATTAGTAATTTTTATTAGCTTGGTTCGTTCGTTGCCAGCAAGTCTAAGGATTGGCTGAGTGGTGGTGCCGCTTACGGGCTTGGGTTTCTGCTCGTGGCCAGGAAGGGGTCCGCGAGGGGGTGGAGCTGCTGCGGCGCTGCGACGGGATGGTCGGCAAGCTCGGCCTCTTCTCCCCCAACGAGACCAAGGAAGACGCCTCCACCGCCAACCTCAAGTACCTACTCGTATGTGTCCGCCCGGCGCCCCTCCCCTCACTCTGCTCTGCTCGCCGTACAAGTTCATGGAACAGGGCGTAATAAGATGGCACTAAACGCCTAGTCATCAGTCACATGTCACTTTTAGTCAGTTCTCAGTACAATCACAGCAGTGCTAGGAAACCTGGAATTGTTTCGGTGATTCACTTATTCGTCATTTGTTAGGTTATTATTATGTCTCTGATCTCTTGTTGGAATTTTAGGTCCCATACTACCTTGCGGAAATGACTGAGATGACGATCGGGTCCCAATTCTTAAGGCATCACAGGACCATTTGAAGGTTAGTGATTTACCACGTCACATTGTTTTTCTAGAAGCAGTTTTTTGTAAGAGATGTCCCACATGGTAGTTCTCTGTCATCATGTCACCTGTTTCTCATGTATTAATAACTAGAAGAATACTCCGCGCGTTGCTGCGGGGATTCTAGATAATTTAGACTATTTATATTTATATATAGTTATATGAATGAAACTATCTTAAATTAATTTTCGTGAATGGTTTGACATATCTATGTGGACAACTAAATACATGTTAGTGGATGAAGAGATAACTATCATAATTACATGTGCTAGTTGATTATAATTGCAAGTTCTACTGGATTGTTGATGTGGATAGCTTGCATGTTGAGAGAAATCTCGAGTGGGGCTTAGCTTTATAAGAGTATAGGATAGGATTATGAACAGCTCCTTTTGCGCTCTACAGGAGTTCATCGCTCTATGTGAAGTGCTGGAGCTTATTCCAGAGGATGAGCTAGAATTATCTAGACAGAAGCAACCTGATACTATGGCTAACAGAAGAGCACAGAAGGTGAGATTGATTGGCTGATTTTTTTTCCCATTCAACTTGCCAAGGAATCATGAGCAGTTTGCCTCTACAATTGAAACAGGGTAAAATGGAACATAGTTCTCTCATCGTGCTAGCATAATCTGTAATGAATAGGCTTCTTACCCCGAGCATGTTTAGGGTGGGTTTGTTCCCCAGTGTTCACTCCTTACTATTTCATGATCCAGGTTGCCCGGTTCAAACGTCAAAGGGCTTCAGAAACAAAGCTCCAAGAGATCAAAGAGAGGAAAGAAAGGCGTGTACATTCGTTGAGGGCAGCTGCTTTATCTGCTCCTATTGAAACTGGGGAGGAAGATGATCTGGAAGACGATGGGGGAAGAAAGAGAGGTTAGCATCCCACAACTGAAGCTGTTGTATGTTCATCATATGTTTATTCTGGTTCTATCTTTCAGCATATTCAAATTACACTGGTAGAGAACCGAGCTTTACTCCCGGTGGGGAACCCCCTCTAGTCCCGGTTTCCCACCCGGGAGCAAGCATCCGGGACTAAAGGGGGGTCCTTTAGTCCCGGGTCAGGAACCGGGACTAAAGGAGGACCTTTAGTCCCGGTGGGTAACACCAACCGGGACTAAAGGTGCCTCCTGACATGCCACGATGGCCGACACCTTTAATCCCGGTTGGTATCTGAACCGGGACTAAAGGTTTTTTTTTTTTCTTTTCTTTTCTTTTTTTTTTGTTTTCTTTTCAAAATAGGTTTTGAAGTCGTATTGTACGCTGCTAATTATACATTTATACGCCGCATATAGTATGTTTGGTTCAAGCACAATGAACGTATTAAATCACACAATTCAAGCATAGAAATATATATATATATATATATATATATATATATATATATATATATATATATATATATATATATATATATATGAATGCATGCATCATATATATATTTACATGCATGCATGCATATGTGTATTTTACATTATATTATTTCATGTGCATATATTACAAAAAGATTGCATTACAGTTGTTGTGACATAACAAGTTTTCTCTCATCCTCTAGCTTGGCTTCAATGGCGGTGTTGGGTGAAGTAGAACTCGCCCTTGTAATCGATGACCTGCTCATTAAAAAATCCGCTATAGACTCTTGAATTGCTTTGATTTGGTCTTTGCAGTATGACCTTTTCCTTCCACCATCGAAGTCTCTGAGGTTTGAATTAAAGGAAAATAAATTAATATATGTATATATATATATATAAAGACATAGTAACACAATCAATAATAATAATTAAATGAATATATAGTGTATTTTTAACGTACTTTGAGTCTCTCTGTAGGAGTTCTTTGGGAGAGCACCTTGATAAACTTGCAAAACATAGTAACCACAATAGTTGTTCTCCTGTTCTCGCCTTTAGACACCACTTTACGAGAAAAGATTTGTCATCCAATCTGGTGATCCGGTGAAAGCTATATGTTTAATTAATAAAGATGATGCGATCTGTGGATTTACTTTCAAAGGGATTACATTGGTGGCGCTTTGCATTTTTCCATGTGTTGCTTCTCAATAAAGGTTTTCCAAACACTGTCCAATAAAAAATTTGCCACGTCATCAGATATAGTTAATCATCATGTTTGTGTGTATATATAGTTGCTAGAGATCCCGAAATTACCTCTGGATAATATCTATCATATCTTGATAGTCTTGTTGTGGTTTTCTCATCGAGTCATAGATTATCAAGTGATTTTTCACCAGATCGATGTCCATCAATATCCAGTGATTGCTGCATGTGTTTATAGGATATAACGCATAACACTCATTAATTAACTAGAATCAACATATGAGCCATTAAGGATATGATCGATATGATTAACACTCACTTGAAGTTATAGGGAAAGAGTATATCCTTCTTGTGGCGTTGGTTCACTAAGAAGTTCATGAGGTTACTCTCTGACTCAGACTTCCAATTAGTCTTTGGAGTAATTGGGTCTTCGAATACTATATGGGGATCAACAAAACCAATTTCATTGCAGCCTTCCTTTCTGAGCTCTTATATATAGTACTTGTTAGGATAATTTATATGCATATACACGCATATGATGAGTTTAATAATAGATCGAAAGAATTATTACTTACAGGCAATAGCAGCTAATGATAACTTTGTCCAGAGAGGTCAGGTGGCATAGTTGATGAAATTTCGCAAAGTCAACATACATAACATCATCGCCACGGAACCAATGTTCGTCTCTAATTCGACACCAACGCAGAAGTCTCCATTGGTAGACTTTGCATGTACCACTTGTTTAAAGGTGTACATTTGCGCCCCAGATCGAGATAAGGCTTGAGGGTTGTATAGACTCGGCCTAGTACAAATTTTTTCTTCCAAATATCAACCTCCTTGCGACTCTCAATGTTTCCATCACCAAACATCTGGTAAAGGTCGAGACCAGTCTCATCAAGAAATTCACCAAGGTGATCCAAATCGACATCCGGAGGTATGTTTGCTCGATGCATTAATCCTAAATTGAACCATATTCATTACCAACAACTAGCGGGGGATTGATTGGTGCGCTTGTTGTCCGAGTTGGGCAATGCCTTCCCCGCCCGCTTCTTTTTCATGCCGCCTCAATTGACTTGGTGAGAGTGCGGTCATAATCGATAACGTTGATTTGGACGGCTTACGAGATTCCCGCTGTTGTTGTTGGTAAGAAGTCACCTTTTTCTTAGAATATCCGAGCTACGGGAAGAAGCACGGTTTCTCCGGGTTTCTCCTTGCTTCTTGATTCATTTTAAGTTTGTCATAGAATCTAGACATATCTTTTTTATATGCATCAGTTCCTTCTTCCTTCTCTTCAGATATTATTTTGGGAATAGCCCTTGGTTTCACGGTGGCTTTCTTTGCAGGCGGGGACTGGTTCTTCGTTTGAGGGGTTGGCCTCTTGCTAGGCTTCTTGGTAGGCGGGGGCGGGGGAGGCGTTGGAGACCTCCTTGGAGGTGTTGGCAGCGGCGTTGGAGACCTCCTTGGAGGTGGCGGCCATTTTGACCGAGGATCAAAGGCCTGTTCTCTACTAGTGTTAGAATGAGATGTGATATTTAGACTTTAGATAATAAAAATTTGCCCCCTCCCCCCTGATACCTCTGATTTTAATTTATTAAGTCTGTGATGCTTGTAGGGAGCTTTATGAATTTGATGCGTGTAGCTACTAGCTAGGTTCTTAAATACCTACATGACCTGTGATGCTCCTTTTTGTGCATACCAAGCCGATGAGGATCTTTCTTGTTCTCTCTGATAACACTGACACAGCGCTACCATAAAATTTATCGCATAGCAATAAAATCTGTACTGCAAAGCCTTCAAAATTTTTAACATTGTTCTCTGCTCCCCCCACCCCATGACTAACTAATTCTTTTTAATCTTGTTTCATATCTTGTCAATGTGTGCATCCAAATCATATTCTATTACTTTGCACTTCATTTTATAATATAATTAATCAGAACATATGTTTTGGTTCTCATTTACTTTCCTATGCTGCAGGCGTGGTTAGCTACTATCTCATTGGCTCTCTGCAAGGTTAGTTTGATGTGGCAAAAATTATTACACAATGCTGCTTCCCTGTTTTAAAAATTGTATACTTGCAATTATAGTAATATATGCTGGTTGCTGTACTATAATAGGTTTGTATTTATTTCCCTATATAGGCTTTTGATCTTCTTGACATGCTGAAGAAGGAAGAAGAAATGCTTCTAGCTGTAAAGGAAAGGCAAGCAAAGGTAATGCTAAAAGATAGTGATTTGGTATTTTCTTGTCAGTGGCATCTTAGGCAAATTATTTTCAGTAACATTTTTTCCTTCTGAGAATGTGGGAGTGAATTTCAGGCTATCATGTCTCACATAAATATGATAAATGCATAGAATAAATGCATAGAATGCTGCTTTCTGCAATTTGGATACGGTGTAGTTAGCTATATAATGAGAAATTTTCAACTTGGAACCAGCTTTATGAAAAATGATGTGATAAGTACTGTAGCTTTCATATAGATCAATGTCAACGTTTTAGGCTAGCTGGGTTTCTCAATTTTCTACATAGCATTTGTTAAAGGTTAACCAAAGATGTGCTGCCTTGTGATTGCCATGCTTTTGTAGAACTTGTTTTGTTATATTGGCAACTGTTACTGAACACAACCGGATGTATTTCATTCCATGTGTTTCTCTTTTAATTTGGGAAATTACAAAAAATATGTCATTTGAGTGGATCTAGTATTGAATAGTTTCTGCGTATTTATGAAGAAGACCTGGCTGTTAAAAATGTGTAAAAGCTACTTCCATTAATTGCCGGTACTTTTGCCTTCGTTTATTTTGACACATGGCTGTTTCAAGTAGACTGCATGCACAGAGACTTCTTCTGCTAAACAGAAGAATTGCCTGTTGTAAAATTTCCACTTCTTCAGGACGGGAATGCGTTTGCTCGTGAAATGCTAGATGAACGAACAAAGAAGGCTGAAGCATGGCACCATAATGCTGCCAAACGTGTGCCATATTCCAAACCAGCTGATCCAATCACTTGCGCAACATTAGCTCAAGACATCCTCGAAGGTAGAGCGAGTGTCTCAGAAGCTCATGAGCACAAACACCAGCCCCTGATACTCGGACCTGCAAGCCTTGTTGGTGGGGGACTAACCAGTGGAAGGGAAAGAATTGCAGCACAAGTTTTTCAGCCTGGTTACAGGTATGATGACTTAAGATAGTTTTATATGCCTACCACCTGTACACTGCAAAGCTTTCCATTTTCTGTATTCTGCATCTCTGTTGAAGTGCTAATGGTAATGTTGTTATCGTGGAACGTGTAATCAGCGTTGTTTCCACAGTTGCTAATAAATAAACTTCGAGTTTTCCTTGTAAATGTGACCATAGGTTATGACAATGATCACATAAAAAGCTAATCCATTTGATATTTTCTGGTAAAAACCAATAATAGATATTATCCTCTAAAATTCCATACTGATAAGTCAGATAGTAACCCTATATTAGCCTGTAAGTATTGCCCGTTCCTTTTCGGTTCATGAGCCATGAGGCACTGTAGAAGTGTACTGAAGTATGATTCACTTCTGTGTTGCCCTTTTATGTTGCTTGGATCATAGGCTGCCAACAATGAGCATAGAAGAAGCTGGTTTGCGGGAGATGAAAATGATGGAGAAATGGCAAGAAAGGACCGCCAAGATGATCGAAGAAGCCAACTCTGCCTGGCACAAGGATGGCGCTAGTTGTTCGGCGCGAGAGGACGAGGATGCCGGGGAGGAGAAAGCAAGAGCATGGGACGACTGGAAGGACGACAATCCTCGCGCGTGGTGCCGGCAATAAGAAGCTCACTCCCTGTGGCTAAACTAGGACAATCCTCCGTGTGCTCTGTTCTGGAATGTTACCACTTGTAGCCATTAGTACTGTTATTAGTGTGATTGGGCCTTGGAGCGTTCGGTGGCGCATGTCACCCCGCGGGAACCCCTGGAACTATGGAAAGCCTCTCTTGGCTTGGAGTTGTCGCGGTTATTATGGAATGTGGCACTCCAATTCTTCAGATAGGCTACACGTTTTTTGCTGGGCTTTGCTACGTTTTGTTCGGCCTTTTCTTCAGATAGGCTACAAAATTTTGACTAGTATAGTGCAATTGTGCAAGTTTATTTATCAATTTATTTGCTGACATGCATCATGATGTGTTCATTAATTTAGTGCGTTAAGTAGCGAGTAACGAATGAAATTTTCCGTTCCGACTGCGCAGACATGCATACACACGATACATGCTGCCGACTTGAGGTCCCTATCTCTGACACTTTTGCTGTGACACTACTCGACAAATTTCAGTTTAGTTTCATACGTACGAGGAAAATTCGCCGGTACGGTAGCCTGGTCGTCACAATTCCGTTCGGAGTACACTATTCATCTGCAGATCTTAGGCTTTACCTAAACTTATCAATTTTGCCATTCGAGATTATATATTAATCAGTACTGGTCACACAAATTCCTACGCTTGCGTGCATGTGTGCCATATATACGTGGTATAACTAACTTGAGGTCATCTGAGAGTACATGGAAGATATGTTGATGTTGTTAAGATATCCCTAGGGTACCTTAATTATGGGCTCATACCATATATACCCATGAAGGGTGGACACTATATATATAAAGGAACTTGTACCCATCTAATTTAATGATAAGAGATCAGTTACTTCCACGTTTCCCATCTCTCGTGTGTGCTACTTTTGGGGTTGGGAAGGGAGACGGGTCATCTACCATCTTCTACACACCTAATCTGCTATCAGGAGGGGAGTTTGGATCAGGAGATCCACGACGACACCTGGATCTTAACACGTTATCAGCAGCTCTACCACTCAAAGGTACGTTGTTCGTGATCATTTCCACTGAATTCCCCTTGATGGATTTAGTTGGTCGGTCGAATCTGTACTTCTTGATTGTATAGGCTTTGCTTTTAGCAAGAATTGTTTCGTATCTAGTATGTTTGTTTTTTGAATAGTAGATGTGATCGGTTTTTTGCATCTACATTAAACTACGGCGCCGCTACCCGGCCCTGCAACCTGACTGAACCGATCTATTATTAGCGATTTCCTTGCATGCATGCTTTTTGCTATTGCCTGGTGGTGGCCAGCGTGATTGCCTGAACCCTTTTCTCATGGGCAAATCAATGTAGATTGGTTTTTTTTTTGGGTCCTGTGTGCATCTACTGAACCAACGTAATCGATCAGATTGGTTAGATGGCTGTCTTTTTTATGCACATACTACATCATCACCGGCCAACCCAACGCTTGCGCGTACGCCGCCGGTTGAGATTTTGCAGATCGATTTAGGCTCCGAAGCTGTATAGCCCTGAAGTGCTTAATGTTTATTTCCTTGCGTTTATTACAGAGTTGTTTTTCTATGGCTTAATACATGCTTACATTCATTCTGTTAATGGAAAAGTCATAAGAATGCATTAAAAATGATGTGTTTACACACGACCATTACACTAGCTCATTGATCTAAGTAATATTCATGTATACTGACCTGAAGTGTTTTTACATGATCATAAAGGCGATGGGTGAAGTCAAGAAAAGGCAGTTTGACTACCTCATGTTGAATGGCAAGAATTACCAGACCTGGGTTGTGGATTGTCGTTTCCACCTGGCAGCCATGCAACTGACTCACACGATCACTCCACGTGCTGAGGGTGCTCCTGCTATTCCAAAGCATGAGATCGCAAAGGCATCGATCTTTCTGAGGCACCACATTCACAAGGACCTCAAGCAGGAGTATCTTGAGGTGCGTGACTCGCTCAAGTTGTGGCAGGCACTCGAGGACCGTTTTAGCAAGCAGAAGACTGTGATTCATCCTCAGGCTAGGCGTGACTGGACACAGCTACGCTCTGGAGGCTTATAGTTCTGCACTTCACCGCATTGTTGGCCAACTTACGCTTCTGTGGGCAGAAAATCACAGATGCGGAGATGATAGAGAAGACTCTTGAGACTTTCCATCCTGCTAATATGGTGCTCCAGCAGCACGTAACAATAGGTACAGAAAGTACTCTGAACTGATAAATGTCCTTCTTGCTGCTGAGACTCAGAATGAACTTCTGATGAAAAATTTTAACATGCGCCCTGTTGGTGCTAATGCTTTGCCTGAAGCACATGCAAGCTTCCATAAGAAGTCTAAGACCTTTTTTAAGAAAGACAATCCAAACAGCAAGAAACAGGGACAGAACGATTGGAAATTCAAAAAGCAGTCTAACAAAGGCCAGAAGCCTAATAGCCAAGGTAAAGGCAAGGCCCAGAAAGGTGATGCAGGTGGGTCTGAGCACCCTAACAAGGGTTGTTTTCGTTGTGGCTCTATGAACCATTGGTCTCGCTCTTGTAGAACTGAGCCACACCTGGTCCAGATGTACCAGGAGTGGAAGAAACGTGAGAACCCTGAGGCCCACTTTATCCAAGCACGAGTTGATGCCGTGACTGGTGAGCACACTGTAGTGTTGCCGCAGCCTGTTGAGAAGCCAGAGGGAGGTAATGCTATGGATGTTGATCCTACAAATACCTCTGGAGGCAATATCCAGGATGACGATGATGATTATAACCTCGATGAAGAGGACACCCTGGATGATGATTTTGGGGACACGGAGTAGTTCCTGAGTCATAATTATTTGCCTCGACAACTTAGATTAAATTTATTTAGTCAGTGTGGTTATTTTCCTGAAGAATATTTGGTCGTGATGTAATAATGCTCTTATTGAGCAAACTAAATTTATTTGTTTACACTATCAATTTTTAGCTCGTATATCTATCATGGTTTATTTTTTGGAATAGCGCTCTTGTTCCTTACGTGCATTTTTTTTTCATGCATGCTCTTTTCATTCCGTATAAATTAAACCATGCCTTGTTTGTTTTATATGGAAATGAATTTAGTCTATTTCTTTAAATAGAACAAGAGACGTGGTGCATTGTCCTATGGAGGCTGAAGAGGATTTTTGCTTAGTTGATAGCGCTGCCACAAACTCAATTTTGAGAGATACGCGATTTTTTGACACATTGCGAAAACGAGCTGAAAATGTTTTCACTATTGCCAGAAGCGATGGCCGCGTTGTTGGCTCCGGTCGAGCTATTGTGGTGCTCCCAGATGATACTAGGATGTTCATTGAAGAAGCTTTCCTATATCCCGGAGCTGAGCGTAATCTCCTTAACTTCAAAGACATCCGTCGCAGTGGTTGTCATGTTTCTACTACGTATGAAAATGGTGCTGAATACCTATATTTGACGGAGTCTGATGAAGCAAAAATAAAAGTGGTTGAGAAAGCATCTTGCACCTCCTCTGGACTGTACTACACGAAAATTAAGCCCCCTTTGGAATTTGTTGTGATGTCCACAATTTTTAAAAACCCAAAATCCTTTAGAATCTGGCATGAAAGGCTTGGTCACCCTGGGATAAGGATGATGCATAACATCATAAATAGTTCTGTTGGTCATGGCATTAAAAACAACTCAGTTCCCTAAACCTGAAGATTTCTTGTGCACCGCATGCGCACAGGTCAAACTGATCACTAAACCCTCTTACCTAAAAGTAAAATCTGAGTCCTTGGCTTTCCTGGAGAGAATTCAAGGAGATATTTGTGGCCCAATAAATCTTTTATCCGGACCATTTAGATATTTCATGGTTCTTATAGATGCTTCTACAAAGTGGAGCCACGTATGCCTGTTGTCTACGAGGAACCACGCCTTTCCTAAATTCATTGCCCAGATCATCCGTTTACGTGCTAGTTTCCCGGAGAACCGCATTAAGTCAATTCGGATGGATATTGCTGGCGAATTCACCTCAAAAGCATTTAACGATTATTGTTTAGCATCAGTTATTGATGTAGAGCATTCTGTACCCCATGTACACACTCAGAATGGACTTGTCCAGTCCCTAATAAAGAGGATTAAATTAATTGCCAGACCACTTTTACTAAATAGCAGTCTCCCCACCAGTGGCTGGGGCCATGCAGTGTTGCATGCTGCTGCCTTAATCCAATATAGACCTTCTGCATATCACTCTGCTTCCCCAAATCAACTAGTGCGTGGACAAGAACCAATGACTTCCCATCTGCGAAAATTCGGCTATGCTATGTATGTGCCGATATCACCACCCCAGCGTACATCAATGGGGCCTCACCGGAAGTTGGGGGTTTATGTTGGTTATGAAACTCTATCCATAATTAAATATTTGGAGCCTAAAATTGGGGATCTTTTTACGGCTCGGTACGCTGATAGTATCTTCGATGAAGATCACTTCCCGGCATTAGGGGGTGGATTGTACCTTAAACCTAAAAAATGCTGGGAAGTAGAATGGAATGACGTGGGCATCCATTCAATCGATCCACGCACTAGAGTTGCTGAACTTGAAGTTCAAAGAATAATTCACCTGCAACAATTAGCAAATAACTTACTAGATGCTTTTACTAATATAAGAGGAGTGTCAAAATCACATATTCCTGCGGCTAATGCACCGGAGATAGTGGAAATACCCATGGAAGTAACAAATTCCACTCATGCCTCCAATCCTAGGAAAAGGGGGAGAGAACCGGATGACTCGGTGAATGAGTCGCGGAGACGTCCACAAAGACAAAACACCGGAATAAATGCATTACGCTCTCAATCAGTAGTCCCAGAAGAGACATGCCTTGAAGGCGATGGCCCTAGTGCTCATGTGCGCACAAATATAATAAATAGCACGAGGGCATCGGAACAACCAGACTCAAGTGACACGGGAAATCCAAATGAGCTGGATGATTCAAATGAAGAAATGGCCACAAACTATGCTCACTCAAGAGAGTTATATAATAGAAA